CTTGGGTTCTGGGGTGCCTGGTGACATCCCTGGGAGTGTCCAGGGCCAGGCTGGATGGCGCTTGGAGCAGCTTGGGATAGTGGGAGGTGTCCCTGCCTGTGGCAGGGGGGGGCACTGGATGAATTTAAGGTCCCTTCCAACCCCTTCCACTCTGGGATTCCAGGATCTCATTCCACCCCCTGCCACAGGCAGGGACACCTCCCACTATCCCAAGCTGCTCCAAGCGCCATCCAGCCTGGCCCTGGACACTCCCAGGGATGTCACCAGGCACCCCAGAACCCAAGAGGTGCCCCAGGGTGTGGAATGGGAAGGTGGAGGGTTAACCCAACCCCTCCACTCCCAGCCCCACATGATGCCCCGGGAACCTCCTGTTTCCTATTAAACCAACCCGGCAAATCCGTGACCTCGGCGAGTTCCCAGCCCTGGAACACAGAGCCCACGGAGCCCAGGGAAGCAGGAATTCCATCCCAGCTCCCTGCACACGCTGCTCTCGGGGCTTTTCTTTGAGCTGCTCATCATTTTCAGCCCCATCATGGGATTTTTCGGGCGTCTGACCCACGGGGTTGGGAGTGCCAGAGCTTGGCAGGGAAGCTGTGGCTTGGCACAGGCTCTTCCCCCGGGATGGCCTCCTGCCTCCCCCCCATGCCAGCCATCCCTCAGGGTGGCAACTGTCCCTGCTGCCCATGCAGGGCCAGTGCCCACTCTCAGCCCCAGCTCTGTGCCCTCCCCTCCTGCCTCAGCGTTCCTGTGGCTCTCACACCATTCCCATCGTCTTCTCCTTCTCTTTTCCTTTTGGGAATCGATCCTTGCCAAGCCAACCCCGGGGCCAGCCCCTGGTGGGTGCAGTGGGGACTGGGCACAGGCAGCACTGGGCCCCCCCAGCCTGCACCAGGGACAGGGTGGGCACTCCTGTCACTCCCTATCCCCTGACTGCCAGATTCCAGGGAAAGCCCTAGAACAGGCAAAAACGGGCATGGCAGGGCCTGGAGGGCACCCTGGGCTGCTCCAGAGGGTGATGGACGGGGGGGGCCCTGCTTTGTGCAGCGCCAGCACCCACCAGAGGGTGATGGACAGGGGGACCCCCCTTGGTGAGCGCCTGTCCCTGAGCCCCGAGGAGCAGCATTCCCATATTCCCATCCCGTGAGGAGCAGCATTCCCATATTCCCATCCCATGGGAATCTCGGCCTCCAGCTCCCAGCCCCTTCCCAGCCCGGGTCTGGCAGGGGGACAGTGACACCTACAGGAATGTGACAATGGCCACCCGTGTCCCCCCCTCGCCCACCAGGACACGTGGGTGGCTCCCGACAGGCAGGGCTGGGCCCCTGCCACCACCCCGGGCTGGAGATTTGTCCCCTGCCACCACCCCGGGCTGGAG